CCTATTTATCGTGGATGCAGGTATGCAATTTTGGGAGTGGCGTAAAACTCTGTGAAAAACGCGATATTCGCGGTGATATGCAGTAGTCGTGAAATATATTTTCACTAGTGTTTTTCATATCACTAGGGTGAAACTCATATCGTTGGAGTTTTATCCGTTTTACGTGAAGTGGTGTAATACTCTGTGAAAAACGTGATATTCGCGGTGATATGCAGTAGTCGTGAAATATATTTTCACTAGTGTTTTTCATATCATGGGGGAAACTCATATCGTTGGAGTTTTATCTGTTTTACGTGAAGTGGTGTAATACTCTGTGAAAAACGCGATATTCGCGGTGATATGCAGTAGTCGTGAAATATGTTTTTCACTGGTGTTTTTCATATCATGGGGGAAACTCATATCGTTGGAGTTTTATCCGTTTTACGTGAAGTGGTGTAATACTCTGTGAAAAACGTGATATTCGCGGTGATATGTAGTAGTCGTGAAATATGTTTTTCACTAGTGTTTTTCATATCACTAGGGTGAAACTCCATTGTGAAAAAGTGAAGGCTCTCATCTCGCTGGGTGGGTAGTAGCTGTTGAGAATTGATATCTATAGAGAGTTGAATATAAAGTGGTATATGTTATATATATATATTTTTCGTATTTTTTGCAGGTGTTAGGATTGTCTGGAAAATCAAAGGAGCCTGCTGTGGACATAGTAGTAGATTCGGCTGCTGGAGGGTGGAAGCCCACATTGGAAGGGGTTAAGGAGGAAGAGGAGGAGGTAGAGATGAAGTGACGCTGGTGTGGTATGGGTTGAGAAAACGTTGGAGTTTCACCACCCGTTTTACGCGAAGTGGCGTAATACTCCACGTGAAAAACGTGATATTCGCGATGTGAAATGTGAATTGAAAACACTTCGCGAATTACACCAGACGAAATATCACATTTCACGTGAAACACTGAACGGGTGAAACTCTATTGTGACGGTCTTAATGATAGCGCTTAGTACTGTGTTGAAGTTGAATGGAAACGTGTGTAGGATATCAAGGTTTGCTGTGTGTGCAGGGTATTTCGCGCAACGACCACGGCACGTTACTATAATGTATCTACGGAATCATTTCATTATTAATGGAAAACAACGCGCATTTATTTTCTAGACATGTGTTGTGAATTTTACGGCTTATTATGGTTGCATCATCTCAGGCTGATTCTGCATACAGCGATCTCAACGAATTCTCTCTTACCATTCCGCCCTCAGTGGTTGTTGACGATGATCATATGTCCTTTCATAATGCTGATGGGAAAGTTGGGGATAATGTGAGCGGAGCGAAGCGTTTCATGAATTGATGATTTATGAGGGGATTGTTAGAATGCAGCGGCCGTCAAAGCAGCTTCGTCTTCGCTTTCGGCGCGCAATCGGATTCGTCGTCGGCAGGGAAGTGTGATGCCTGGTAATGGTGGTGGGAAAATATGCGTGATATTTGTGGAAATTTTTGTGAAAATTTTTGGGAAATTTTTTTGGGAAAATTTTTTTGTGAAAAATTTTGTGAAAATTTTTGGGAAATTTTTTTTGGGAAAATTTTTTTGTGAAAATTTTTAGGAAAATTATTTTGGGAAAATTTTTGGGAAAATTTGGGAAAATTGAGGAGATTCTCATTGGTTTCTGTACACTTCTACCCAAATTCGTATGCAAGGTTGTATAACTAGTGAGGAAACTTTTGAACTTAGCTGAGGAAAGGATGCATAAATTCCAACACTGCTGTTGATGGTGATAGATGATGCCAGTGTTGGAATATATGCTTAGTTTTTCCAGCTGAGCGCAAAAGTTTTTTTCACTAATCATAGAAATCAGCATACGAATTCGGGTATAAATGTACAGAAACCAATAAGGAACTCGATAAACTCGGCCTTCTCGGAGAAGGGGCGGAGCTCGGCATCCGGATTCGATTCCCATGCCTGGCGTTTTTCTGCAAAAATATGTTTTTTGCACGGAAATCTACATGGTCCGGGCGGAACCCTAATTTCGTATTTTTCCTAGTATCCCCAGAGCGAGAGCTATCGAATGGTGTATAGCATGTGGTCATAACCTGTCTAGATCGAGCTGGATAATCTGTACGCACGCACGCATGCACGCACAAAGTGTTAGTAAAGTGAGAGAATACGCTCCGCTCGCTTCGCTCGCTCCGCAATTTTCGCAGAATTTTCATAGTGTCTCCAACACATGTAGTTGACTATGTGCATATTTTCCAACACTGGTATATGGTAGCGATGTTTGAGTCTGCTCCGGTGAAGCGTGGTGATGTAGGAATAGGAGGATGGGGAGTAGAAATCGTCTTTGGGGGGAAGGCGTGAAGACGCTGAAAAAATGGGTTAAAAATGTCGTTACCGGGGATCGAACCAGGGTCATGTCAGTATGGGGTGTAGTTGTTTTGTTGGAAATTTTCTGATGGATGTTGTCTTGTCTCAGATGACGGTCCTCGACGGCAAACGGAGTTGTGCCGCTCTATTGCAAACTGGCTGGCGGCAGCGGCAAATAATCGAAAGCTGCGGCGGAGCGATGTAAGTTTTGTTTCGCATTTTCGTGGTTTTGGCGAGCTCTCACTGTAGGCGTTTTCGTTGTTTGCTGAGGTTTCAGCTGTCAGCTTTGAACGGGATGGTCAGCATAAGCGGATTGAAAGTTATGGGTGAGAGAGGGAGGGAAAACTTTCGGAGAAATTTTTTCGCGGAGAATTTCGCGTTTGGCACAGCGGAAATCGGGATTTTTTTTCAGTGCGAAAAGTTTTTGCGACGAGAAAATTATGAATGCCTTGATATGGGGGGATTATTCATATATTATATTAATGAGATTACCCCATATATAAATTACATACT